GCGAGGTGCGCAACACGGTAGCGGTGCTTGGCTCGCTAATCAAAAACATTAGCCTCCAGGACTCATTTTCCCAAGCACTGAGTGTGTAACCTCCATAATTCAATATCCCACCTCTTACAGCTAAATCGCCAGCACTACAACCCACTTTAGTCTTTGTCAGCAAACTATCAACTCTGTTATTAGATATATGGGCCTGAACACGCTGTTATGAACCTATGGGCAATTAAGACGCCGGCATCCACACACAGCTGACTGTTTACAAGGCCTTATTTCATCTGTACCTCCCGGTGGCTCTGACTGGTCCCTTGCGGCATTTGCGGAAGCCTCCTGTTACCGTGGAGACCCTGAACACTTTGAGGTCAGCAGAAACTTGCAATATGCTGTTTTTCCCTCCCCATAAGCTAATCCAATCGCATGGACCCTAAATTAGATATGCAAAAATAAAAAAGAAATTAATTTTTTGCTGATGACCGGCTATGCAAATGATGACTCAATTATGGTGTGCCTGTGCGTTTGCAATTAATAACCTTGGAATCATCATTAACTAATATGTTTAGGAGGAAACTTGTCAGGCTAACCATGTTCACCATGCCATCAGTAATGCATTAATGAATTAGATTCATTAGAGAGAGGGAGGCCTGTTTTTGACCTGGTGCATGTCTATTTTTTAGCACATGCCTGTCAGCTTCCCACTAATGACATTTTATATAAAGACACACATACGCACATGTATACTGTACATGTATAGTGAGCTGTATTCAAGAGCAAAACCAACCACATTTGCATTGACACAATGACAGCTGACACAGTCACAGACAAGAGGTAACTTTAATTCAACATTGTGAGTCCAAAAGTTATTTTACAGCTCAAATTTCATCAAAAACAATAACAATCTATACAGTAGATTTTTTCTTCCCTCATCATAGAGCTGTTCAGTGTAATTGCAGTCAAAGACAAAACAGAGGAAAAATAGACACCAGCTATTTGGTTTGCATCTTTTTTGTTTGTCACCAAAGTAGAAAACTTCATCACCCATTTCCAATATTCATAATCAGGATGGACTTTAAGCTTTCACAAAGAAGCCATTGTATGACAACAGACCTCTGCAGTTCATTTGAAACGGATACGGTGCGGCCCCTCCCTCACCTCTCCTCTCGGCCCCGGCCCTCAGCAGCACTAGTGCCCCAAAAGCACTCGTCTGTCAGCGGGCGCCTCTGTTAAAATGCTCCTTTCTTGCCACTTAACAAAACCAGACTTCAGTAAAAAAGAAAAGCAGGAGAAAAGCCCTATTCTGTGTATGGTAACAGATTCAAGATACACAAAGAACTGTATAGAAGTGGTTGACATTGCGATCAGCTAATTTCCATGCCTGCACACTTGTTCCGAGAGGGTGTAATGAAACGATGCTGTTGTTATGTTAAATAACAGAAGTGGGTATAAGTTACCTTTAATTGAGTCAAAAGTAGGTCTCCTGCTTTTGTTGAACTCTACCCCTTTATACGATACTGTTTTGCACCACTAGCCGCAACCTTCAAATATCCTAAAACTGGGGTATCTACCTTTCAAGTAACAAAAAAATAACAAGGTGAAAAACTAGTCTGACTAGTTTGGTTCTATCACTGTCACATCTTTAGATCAGCTTTTTCAGATAGAAAAGTGAAAAATAGAGAAACACCCCCAATCAGCCAATAAGCTCAAAGCCTTAATTATTGAGTCACAAAAGTATGAAAGAAGGTTAAGGTTTTACAGTGAGATAAAGACAATATGTTGTGGTTTGATCTGTTCACAACATTGTACTTTATGAACAAGATAAGATAGGTACCCCAGCTTTAATAGTACACTTTGATGTACTCCCTATATGGGTTGAGTGACCGTTGTGTTAGCTTTGCTTGAGTTGTGCTGGCCTACATACGTCTATACCTGATGCTATGTTGATTGCAAAGAACGTAATATGTAAATAAAAAAAGCTACAATGGCTCCAAGACACTGCGGATAGACTGTCCTTCAAAGTCATCGCCGCGTCTTGTGAAGGGCTGTGATTGTTGAGTTATGGCTCTTTGTATTCTTAGTCTGGCTTTGTCCAAACCACCAAAAAGACTTGCAAGTGAGTTTTTGTGCTTCTCTGTCCCCCTCAAAGTTTCCCATGAATTCCTTTTGTGGCAATAGACAATTGTGGTGACGGGTAGAAAAAACTGTACACATGATTGAATGAAAGAATGGGTTTTGCATTGTTAAGGCATCTAGACTGCTGGTACAGATTACAGTGACAGAAATGAAAAAGAAATAGATACAGCATGTTAGCAAGCATAAACAACAAGAAAGGAAAGTACAGGACGGGATGGGAAGCGATGAAAAACGGCAACCAAAAAAAGTAACTTTGCATTTTCGTCTAAGTCCTCTTGGTTTTCACGCAAAATCAAAAGTGTCACTCAGGAGAAGAACCCATGCATATTATCAAAGCCTCAAACCAAAATATTAAAATTTACAATATATATTAATGTGTGTATATATTCATAAAAACAACTTCAACCAAATACTCTGAATAAGATGCTACTTTTTGCCTTACAATAGATATTTGGTTAAAGAACATTAAACTCAAAGGGTTTATTAACTTACAAATCATACAAAAATAGACAATGAATTTTTGAGTCAACGAAATGGAAGCATGATAAAAACAAAATGGTAAAAAAGTCACATTTAAATAGACAACAATGAAACGCAAAAACACAACATGTGTCCACTTCGCACAACACAAAACAGGAGTGAGAGGCAATTTACAAATACACGGATAAATACAGTATTTATAGAGTATTTTACAGAAAACCCTTTTGTATCCAAATGTTTCTCATCTTTTCGCAGATATGAGATTCGACAACACACAGTAACTCTATTGTCTGTACTGAGAAGCTGCCTTAAGACATTTTACATTTCAAACTAGAGCTATTGCAAAAAGAAAGAAAATCCAAAGATTTGTATATACAAAAATATATCACATATATCACACTTTTATTCTAATTTGATATTCGCTAGACTGCTATCAGTACAGTGCTGGCTGGACGCACACATCCTCTGGGCTTTTCAAGTCTTTTTCTCAAAACCAAAATAAGAAGTTAATTTGGCTAATTTGAAATGATAAGCAGGAAAGCATATTGCAAGCAGCTCAATCCTCACAGTTTTTATTTAAAAAAATCTAACAAACAAAGCCACCACAACCCCAACATAACAAAAGCCTGATGTTGAAATCGTGGGTTCGATTTGTAGGAGAAATAGCAGCAGAGTTGAACATTTATTGGATCCTTTTTTGTTGTTGTTGACCTTGATTCCACTCGGCCGCGTGCATGCTTTTCTGTGGCTTCAGCTCTGAGTTCTATTGTGAGATGTTACATAACCTTCTTTTTCAAACTCTTCTGTTGTGTGTGTTGAGTTATGGATGGCGAGACGGCGTGGGGCCTCCGGTAATCAAACCCAAAGCTTACATAAACAATAACAGTTAAATAAATGCTCTTTTCATGAGGTCAGTGTCACTCTGTGGGCGAACTATACGTCTCTACACACCCCATCACACGGTGTCAGACAAGCTACACTAAATCAAAGTAAGATCACAAAGTCGCTATTGTCCCGCGGCGTCTCCTTCCCGTTTTGCGAACATCCCAAATGGAAAGGCCTGAGTTTGAGGAGTTTTTTTTTTTGAACGCTTCCTCCCAAGTGCGAACGTCGACTGGCCAGGCTCCGTCACCATGTCAGTTTTTCCTTTCAGCATTCCCCAAATCCTATCCTCTACATGGGCGGAACGATCATCCCAGGAATCACTGCTTGTGGGAAAAGAGGGGGAGGAGGAAATGGGGGGGAAAGAAGAGATTGAGAAAGAGAGGTCAGTGGTGTCATTGCTGTTTTATATCTGTCATCACAACAGTCCCATAACAAATGTACACAGGCATCTGCTGAACAAAGACAACACACTCATTATCTCACCGTACAAAAGCCTTCAAATCAAAACATTTCAAGTTTTTTTTAACAAGCTGTCTGAATAGTTTCATGCAATAACTAACACTGTTAATTGTTAGCAGTTACACAGCCTGTTGAGGGAATGAATGTGTTGATATGGCATGACAGACACAATGATGTTATCGGCTCATACATGGAGTGAAAAAAATAGATGGGTGAGTTGAAATTTTTCCCCCAGGTTTTTTTTTACGCTTTGATATCAGGAGTATATCTCCACCTCACCGCTTCCCTCACATGAGCCATCACCAGAAGGAATTTTTCATATAACATATTGGCTGCCTATTGATCCTTCTCCCTCTTCAATCCACTAATTCCCTGGTTATTTCCTAAGTGTCTCCGGCTTGTTGGGATTAACTGAGTCGTGTGTGTGTGTGCGTGTGTGGATAGCAGAACTCCAATGGCCCCTGGGTTGCAGTGGTCAGTGATCATCAACGCGGACATAGGAAGTGCTTAGCTTTTGGTCGTGATAAAGATTCCAATCCATCATTTTTTCCTTGCCATACAACAGCCTGATGGAGCATTTCACCCCCTTCCTCTCCTTTATTATCCATCGCTCTTGCACAGACAGGAAGCAGGAAGTAAAAACAGGAAATAGAAGCCATGTGGCGAGGAGCGAGGCCGGACGAGTGACAAATAAAAAGAAGAGGAGCAAAGGTGGAGGATAATGGTTATAGGGTAGTGTTTAAAGATATATTATGCCTTTTTACAATTCTTCTTGTATATTGACAAGCATTTATTAGATCTCTGTTCAAATCAAAATACTCTGCAGTAACTGTTTCACTTGTTTATTGGGATATTTCATTGTTTTTAATGTTGCTAAGAATGTGGGCCAAATGCCGCACAATTAAATGATACTCAAGTCGGCAGTTAAGCCATAAAGATCCATTACAGCGATGTTAATACCTTGATTTTGGATGATGTGTCTCTATTTTAGATGAGGTAAAAATAAACTGAAATGAAAAAAGGAGAAAAAAAAAAGAAAAAGTCGACATACTTCAGGAGAAGGCCAGGCCCTGGAGGGAGCTGGCTGAGGAGTACTTGCTAGAGTCCACAAAAGACTGATCTAAAAGTGTGGTTGAGAAGGGGGGCCAGCAAGTCAGGTGGAAGGAGATTAGGAAAGGGCAGAGAGGAGGAAAAGAAAGGTGCAAATTATTAGTATTTAAAGGAGAGAAAGCTACATGCTTCCTGTAAATATAATCCCCACATCATTTAGATGCTGTCAGGACTATCTGTTCAACTTCAGTTTTTTTTTTATTTGTCAATTTTTCCCAAACAATGCAAATTTCTGGTATGTTGCAAGTAATGGTGCACCATTTTTATCCACATTTATATACTGTAGGGCATGATATTTTCTCTATGGCCTATAAATTTTGAAATTATTTTGCACTTGGTTTTGACTTGTTCTACTCAGTGATAATAACCAACCCAGTAATAGTGGGTTTCATTGAATACCTTGCAGGCCGTTGGCGCTGGTGCACGTGGGTGGAGGGGAGTTTTGGGGTCTGACGACTGGGGCAAATGCGCTCTTCTGCTTGACCGCGGCCGACACCATGTTCGCTGGGGAGAAGGAGAAGATTCCGGAGGCGCTGCTGCAGTTTGAAGGCAGGCTGGTCGCTGACGCCATAGTGGGACTGGACGGGACGACTGAAGGGGCAGCGGGGGAGGGGTGAGAGAGGTGAGAGGGAGGGGTTAGAGAGATGGGCGAGGGCACAGGACAGGGAGACGGGACGAACAGAAAGGGACTGGTCAATGGACAATGGTAGGAGGGATAACATTTTGGACTCAATTTATCTTACTCATACTTTTTTGTGCAAACTTTTTCTTTTGAGGAAATCACTTGACTCAGAGATAACCATAGCTCAGAAGAAAAAATAAGTTTAAAAACTGCCCAAAGATTTGTTTCTCCAGGCATCCTGTCGGATGGGCTTGTTTTGATGACTCAGTTGTGCTTAAGGGTGCATAATGCAGTGGAGTTCGCGAAACACCTCGCTATGAAACTGTAATTTGTTTTCAGAAACGCTGCTTTAACAGATTACATTTGAAATAAGAGGTATTGTTGTAAATTAAAGAGTCAGCCTGTAAACAGCTGCTGTTATGTTTACATCAAATGGATTTGAAATGAATTGGATTAGGGTTTTATTAAAATCACCAAACATATTTTTGTTTTTGGACTGTTGCAGATAATCCTCACATCTCAAATCGTCCTGTGACATCATCGTTGTCTCCCGTTTGTCTTTTGTCTGCTAATACTCTAAGAGCATTTTCCCCCTCAGTGATTTTACAATCAGCCGAGTCGTATTTCACCTGCCCCCTGATATCTGCGCCTGCCTTTATTGTTGTTATTATCCAACACTTAGCCTTTATGGCTCTTCCTGACAAATCCTCGCAATAAAGTCATAATCCATTTATGAAGGGGCCTAACTAATCAATTAATGAAAATTGGACCTACAAAGGCAGGCCAAGGGGCCATTGATTGAAAGTGTCTGTGTGCGGCCGATGAGCCTGTTAAAATACTTGTTAACACCCAGGAATCAAAGAGCTGAAATGGAATTGCTTCTCTAGCAATTAGTTTATTGATTTAATCAAGGGTCTTTAATGTAGAGGGTGAGTGTGTGCTGTGCGCAGGGGGCGCTAGGTGATATGTTCCCTCGGCCAATAAAGTGGGATTTGTGTTTGACTGTTCTTAGAGAAACAGATGAGCCAGCTGAACTTTCCCTGATGTTTCACTTTTACCAGTTCTCAAGATTGTGTTTACTGACAAACTCGTTCTCACAGCCATTAACTCTGCTGGTTCTAGAGTTTATCCCTTGGCTTAGAAACAAACAAAAATATGACTTTGATAAAAGTTGTGATAAAGTCTTCCCATACATCCACTAAAATGACAATTGTGATTGGTGAGGTATGTTATTGTGATTACGATGCACTTCTAATGCAAAATGCAAACAACATAGAGAAGCACTACAGATCATGCAGAATAGGTCTGTTAGTCTCACATTTGTTGCGTGTGGTTTTTACTCACTAGCATAGGGCGAGTTGCCTGCTGATCCATTGAGGAAGTTGGGCGAGGTGCCTAGGGTTGCCATGCCAGAATTAGCGTAGCCATTCATACTAGTAGAGACAGAACTGTAGCTACTCTGCTGAGGAGTGGTGCTGGGGACATAACCATGTGGAGACACACTGCTCGTACTCCTACTGAAACCTATGGAGCAGGAAGAGAAGAGAGAGACACAGAGAGAGAAAGAGGGAAACTGGGGTTAGAGGTTTGGCAGATGGCAGACCAAACAAACTCAGAAAGCACTACATGCACTGCTGCCAATTACCCTTTCCCTTACACGGTTAATGGCGGCACCAAATGTAAGCCCAAAGTAAAAATCTTAGACAGCATATGGCGAGGGAGAGCCGGCAGAGCTTTGAACAGAGCAGTGTAGTGCAATCCGAATACTCGAACACCATGTCGTTAACCTCGCTGGCTCCTCTACAGAATTAGATATATTGATAAGGCAATTAACTGTAACAGGCCTGCGCTGACATACTCTAATTTATAAACGACTGGAGCGATATTTCTGACAGGACCTTGCTCTATTTTAGCACTCTGAAATAAGGAGATAAAATAAATGAACTATAAATATTAGGGATGTGTGGTATATTGGTTCCAATAATTGTCAGTGATATTTAGACTTCTATAGATATCAGAATTGGCACATGTTCCTATCAGTCTCTATGTCTATATGTGTGCATCATTCCAATGCATGAATTTTCTTTTTTGAACGGAATAATTATATAGAAAATGTAAATGAAACACAATTATGCTTGCTGGAAAAAGAAACCACATCATATACACTGTATAAGGTAATAAATTAAGTGTTGTTTTTTTTATCTTGATTTGAATACTTTTGACTGCCTTAGAATAATGGGACATGCAATCTAGTCTTGTTTCAAGTGCAGTTGCAACTTTTTTCTCATCCCACAGGATAATTTACTTTATTGCTTTTTAAAACAAGACATTTAGCTAGTACCATTGGTTACTCTTGTTTTAGGAAGGAATACTTAAATCAAGATCAATTCCTCCTAATTCAAGCAATTTTGAGTTACTTTTTGCAACATTTTGATTTGGCTTCATGTTCATGGCTTCAAATACATGAATAAATACATTTTGCAATAACATTTCATAACGCTCATTTGTGAACTTTAAACTGCTCATATTTGTGAGCCTTTTGAGGAATTTTAAAATCTTCTCATTATAATTCTATACCTTTTGCAGTTATCTGTCACAGCAGCGAGCTAGACAAATATAAGTAATTGTTATGGGCTCAAAAAATTCTGATCTGACATACGCTGACATGGGAAAATGTATTTTTACTTGCTTTGGTCTAACAAAGGGCTAGTGGCTCACATGGAACAGCCAAGCAGCCAGTACAATGCATGTGACGTACATGATCACTTGTGAAGATGATACATATTTCCACATGAAGTGTATTGGAAGTATTGAGACGCAGTTCCCCTGATAGGAGTGATAAATGAGCGCTGCCTGCACCCACATCCCTCTCTGTCAGGCGGGGGCCGACCTCAGTCTAATATACACACCCCTAGGACCCACTCATCCCACTCCATATCCTGCACTCGCCTCTCCTCCATCCGTCACTCTCTCAGTGCGCACACGTTTCCAGTATTCCCCAATTCCTCCTGATTTTCTTCTTCCCAATTCAAGTGTCCTCTTTTTAGGAACGTCTTTTCTCTCTTTCTCTGTTCATATCGTTTGCCAAATTTGTCAAGTGAGAAGTACAACCTCAGAATCACCACAGTACAGTGTTTTTTTTTTTATCCCTGACTATTTATCTTCTTCTCTTTAGTTTTAAAATACTCTCTGCAGATGTTCAGTGATTTGTACAAAATGCAGCTGCGGCTTTTTTTGTGACTTCCCTCGCTGTCTCATTGGATCTATTCTGATACAAGATTCTGTGTTACTGAACAGGATGCGCATTTTTGGTGACCTGTCCAATTAGCTTCATCTTTATATATTTTTTTTAATATGCCATTTGAAATAACATTAATTTGTTCTGTAAATTGAATAAATGAAACATCGCAGGACAAGGGGAGAGAAATATTGAGTATTTTCCTAACAATATCCAGACAATAACACGTCAATCTTCACCAAAATTGCACTAAACCAGGATTCAATAGTAAAAGCCTCTTAAAGCCTCAAAAGGTACAGAAATAACTTTTAACTAACATCCATAAAATCCATCCAACTAGTTTCTATCTCTCAACACAGTTTGGTTCTTTCACTAGTTTTTAAATACATGTATTGCATTTTTTGCTTCCATCACATCCTTAGATCCAGCTTTTTCAGACAGGGAAGTGAAAAGGACCTCCCTCACTCAGCTAGTGGTTTTAACGGTTTGTTTCAAAGATGCATACTATATTTTCAATAGGATAACATCCCCCAGAATGATATCACTCATCTGAAACCATGCATGTTATAACTGTAACCATCCTTCTCACCTTGGTTGCCTGTTTGAGCCACTTCTGACCCGGTGAAGGAGTTGACCATCATGCCAGCGTGCACTGAACCACTGCCCAGGCCGGTGAGCTGGTTGTGTCCCCGCGGGACCGTGGTGTACAGGGCTTCTGCTATGTCTGCTGCTCGTTTCAAAATCATCTCCTGACAATGGCAAAAAGACAAGAAAAAAACAGCTTTGGTCAGCACTGCAGGATAGAAGACGAGCAGAGGACAGAGAAAATATGATGCAGCCAGCCTTTATGGCCTCACCAGTATGTAAGATGTCTACTAGTGATACTGTAAACCTAGCGGGCTGAGTGGTTTTTATCAGTGGTCACTGGGAGAGCTGGGATTGCTTCCAGTAAATGGAGGTAAGGCTCATTAACAGTCTCATCAAACGTTTAGCCTGACGCTGCCTCTCTGGTTTCCCTCGTGCTTGCTCAGAAAACAGTTTTAATACATATTTGGCATCAGCAAGATAGCTGAAGTGCAGGCAAGAAAGTTTACTTGATATTGCTTTTTTGGTGTTGTTTAGATTCAAGAGTGATGTTGCAGTTTCTGATGAATTATCCCTCATAGGCTGTAAGTTCAAAGTCCTACACAATTATGTAATCAGATTGTGAGCCTTAATTATGTGGTGACACTTTCAAATCTTGCTAAATCAACACTGATCGGAGGCTTTTTACCAAATGCATTATCATTATAAGAAGTACATGAAGTAAAGAGAGTGATACCTTCAGCACAGAGCAAGTAGTGAAAGAGAGGTGTAGGGACAGAGTGTTTTGGGACATTTATATGATATTGTAACTTTTCTACTATTTTATTGTTTTGTGGTTTCCAAATTGTGTTGTCTGTCTGGTTCATTCCTGACACTGTGTTGAATGAGTGAGGGAGGTTGTAAGTTTATAAGCTCCAACCCCTTTTCAGAACATGTACGCAGGAATGTGTGTCATTTTCTTTGGACTTTGGTGTTGTTCTTGTTCTGAAATCTACATATTGATTGATTGATGGAAAGAAACAACAACATAAGGACAGCTAAGATGAACCGAGTCTGGTTTGTATTGGATGGGAGACCACAGGGAATATCAGGTGCCACAATGAGGCCTCTGTGGCTCTAGTGCTGTAGATGTGTTGAACTTCTGGAGGAGTCTGTTCAGTCATCTCGTATATACATTATACAGTATTGATGACACTTCCAATGAAAAGGCCTTGTATATTTCTTTTAAAATAATGCTAGAATTACATAAATCATGTTTTTTGTGCTCGAATATTGCTGCAAGTTTTAATAGCTTGAATGTTCATAGAGGACAAGTCTCAGCTGAGAACGACCACTGGTGCAACTCCTTTCCTGTTCACTTTGTATTTATCACATCTCCTCCCATTGTACTTATTGAATAACAGGCTCTAACATGTTTGTGCTTGTTTGGTGGGCCCCGGTGTTGCGTCTGCACAGCGGGGCGCATCAGGACGGGTGGAAGCACTCGCTTTGATGCCAGTCGCAGCGGCCCCGAACAACAAACATTTTATACTGCAATATTATATCGATGTTTCTGTCAACATTTATACATGTGTTTCCCTATTCTTGTGGGTGTGTGTGTGTTCTTACCTGGTTGTTGTGAGGCATCCCATACAAGGCTTCTACCAGGTCGGCCGCTCGCTTCAAAATCACCTCCTACAATCAAGCACAAAAAGAGTAGAGGATTGATCAGGAAGGTGGCAGCGCAAAGAGTTCAGTCACTTTTATTACATTGCACTTGTAGCGTGGTGCGGTGAATGCAAAAGAGGGAGAGGAGAAGAGAAATGGTGCCTGTCCTGACTGTGTGTTAGCAGCCGGGGCAGTTTGAGGGGTGAGATAGTATTATCAGTGAATAAAACATGAGACCATATCGCTCTATCAGTCAAGCAACTTCTACATCTTCCCCTCCCACTACTGTCACGGCCACATTGTGAATATCCTCTCGATGATCAGCCATCAATCTCATTTAACACAAACATATCATCAGCTGCACAACTGCCCTCGTCAACCGGGATGTCTGCGCTTCGCCACGTAAGCCCCGAGGCTCATTTGACAAAAATAGTCTTATTTTTAGATCGCTCAAATGGCCCAGGCTTGAAGTACAGGAATTTCGCAAAGCTGTTTGGAGTTTGAATGTCACTCACTCTGGTCATTTATGGATGACAATGGACACATGGAAATACATAGGCAGGATCAAACAATGTACAGATAGAAGTGAGCCGTAACAGCGGTAGTAAAGCTGGTGGGCTATTGTGGACTCTGTAGTTACATCAACAAATCTGACGTAATGAGCTTTTGATTTGTCGCTGCAAGCTCTGGTCTGGTAAAAATCAATTCAACAAATGATAAACAGAATCGGGTACTACTGTATTTTTTTCATGGATGTATTGATTTGAGCTCATCTTGAAGTGAATGGTCAAATTAGTTTTAGAGCAGATTTGTAAGCAGGATTTGAGTTTCTCTTTAAATATGACTAAACTATTACTTATTATGTGCACCACTATCTTCAGCTACATCACCAATTCAGTGGACTATGAGACATTGTGCTTTAATAAGATATAACGGGAAAGAACTGATGCATTATACAAAATGTGTGGCTGGTTAGTGAGTGGCAGAATGAATATAAAAATTGTAGTTATTCACAACGCATTATTTACAGTCACATATTTTACATGAATAAAAAATTAATGTATGCTTCCTTTACTAATGGTCAACTCAAAACGTAAGCATTCCCTCCAGGTTGGTTACCATCAAGCTCAATATTTGGGGGAGAGAATGTGTGCTTTGGATTTACATCTGACTTGCATAATCCTTACTATAAGTGAAGGCAAAATGAACTCTCTTGCAATACTGTAGACCGGCCTTTTGCCTCACATCCCCTACTAATGATCTGAGTGAAGTGCCTGGTGTTATAGATGTAGAACATTGTGCTGAGGTGAGCAGCTCGGAGTGGGGTTTCCCAGATCAAACATTTATACATTTGCTATCTCCGTTGTTCATTCTCTTCTCTTCCTTTGCCTGTCTCTCTATTCTCCTCGCTGCCGTGGAGGATTGTGACTGCGGGCGCTCTCATATGGTTGTGATGATGTAGACACCTAGAGCCCTACCAAACCCTTTTTAAAAGTTAATGTGCCGGGGCCAGGATATATGCTGGAGGCGCGACAACCAGAAAATTGCCGCCCCCGCCCTCTTCTCCTCCTTGCACTCTCACGCTGCGCTGCTATACCCTCCCGTGCGTCTCCCTCGCTGTGAACAAGCCCCGGAGCATGTGTGCGCTCTGTTCGGTGACACGCCGCCTTTCAATCAGACCTCATATGGCACACACACACACGCATCCGCACACTCAAAGATGGCCGACCAGTACATGACGAGAGGGTCAGCAAAGCAATAAAGATTGTAGAGCGCTGTCCAAGGTGCTAAATTCACTCAATAATGGGAGCGCTGCCTCTGTGTTAACCTCCCATTACCAGCACTATCTGGCGGGGGGAGGAAAGAGGAAGAGAAAGGGGTAGTAGACAGAGAGAGAGAGAGTGGGCCCGGCACGTGTGATTGAGAGACGTACAGGCCCTAGGATGGTAACTGCTTCTTTAGTATGTATGCGCCGCTCCTCGTTTCCTCTTCCCACTGCTGTACCTGTGCCTCCCAGGGATTTCTGGATAGATGGGCGGATGAGTGGGAGGATGCGGAAGAAGTGTGGGGGGGTGGATTGTTAGGCCCTAAACGGACCCCAGCTGGTACAGGACAGGATAGCATGTGCAACTCTGGTACTGTATGGATATATTGGAGGTGGATTCGAAAATCGACAATGCAATAACAATATTGAATGGATTCTATCTTCTGTAATCTTTTTTGTTACATACACATTAAATAAAACAAGTCAAATATTTTGAAATCAGGCCACAACTTTCTGTCATCTCCTGATACTTGGGAGTCACTATTTAGGCTGAGTGAGTATGGTCCTCTCTTTTTCAATGTCTTAGCCAAATAAGCTGCTCTAAAGATGTTGCCAGCAAAGACTTGATAGAACCAGACCGGAATACTTTACCATCGCATTCTTCACCATTGCCAAACTACAACCTGCCCGTTTGGCGCAAACTCTTGACGTCACCCTAGAACACCCGCCTCCCGCGCTCGCTGATTGGTCGGATAAAATTCAACCGATGTAATTGCAAACACAGGAACCAGACCCAGACGTTACATGCAGGGTAATGATAATTGAGCGGAGTGTACGGATGGCTAAGCCCAGGCTAGGCTGGCACCAGTCACATAACACTCTTTTAGTTTAGTTTAGTTAAATATGTAATTTCCTCCTGTCTTGCTCATATGATGCTAAAACATAAAGTTGGACATTCCCTACAATGTTTTTCAAAAGTAACACTTGTAGTAATCCTTCTGTGCCAGTTGTACACAAGTCTTATCTTATGCTGTTTGATAATAAATGCGGATGTAATTTCAGATTTGGAGGGATATGAGGAGATTTGGTGTAGAGAAATGCTTGTTGTTGATTGTTGTTAATCAAATGAGATTAACTAAAGACTCACCAACTTCTGCCTTGGCAGAGAAGCCCGATACAAAATATTTACAACTTGGCAAACTATTTCACAACACATGGGATGCAATCACGTTGAAAGACTGAAGAGCGGAAAAAGACATGGGGACATTATGTAGGAAATGCATAATCAGAACTTTTTTTGATTGCTTGTAAGGACATTTTTGGACATTTTATAAAGTCCTCCAAGCTGCTGTTGTTTTGAATTAGGGCTTTACACAAAGAGCCAATTGTCATGGTCTTATTGCCACAGGTGCTTTTAACTTAATTTTAAGTTTTCCCTATTTTAACTTTGCCCAGTCCACATATGATAAATAACCAATTTCCCCCATTTATTGATTATGAGTGAAGAGAGTCTTAGCTTCATGAGTCTAAATAGTTACCCCACAATGTTTAGGGAACTACATGTAATCGTTCGGGAGTTGGAATAAAACGTTACATAGACCTATAATTCTGTCCTCATTCTCTCCATTATTTTCTCCATTAATCTCCTCTCCAGGTCCTGTGCTCTGTCCGTACCTATCCGTCTCTCGTTAGCGAAGGGATCTGTCCAGCGGCTAAACACGATTAGGCAGCGCTCCAGAGTCGTTCTGATAAACAGATAAATGCGGTTAGCGTCGGGCTGCCTGCTTCGCGCTGCCGCTGTAAGAGGAGACCATTTCCTGGGCGCGGGGTCTCTTCCCGTAAAGTCAGCCCCACGGAGACGTCAACAGGAAGGGGAACCTGATCCAGAGCACAGGCCTGGTCACTCATTAGCCGGACACAGACCCCGGTTACACCACAGCTTCACCTGGACACCCTGCAGTACAGGGCTGCTTTATGAGCCATGTTCAAGTGATATCAGAATTCAAGCTGAGAAGAATATGCATATATGACAAGTTGGAATACTTAATTCACATATTGAATGTTTTATTTATTTTGCCTCCTCTTTTTTTAAGCCATCTCATTCTTAGATTCTTCTGATATTTGCGAGTTAGAACCCTTTAGGCCAGGCTTCCTACAAACTGTTTCTATAAAGGTCCAGGGCTCCACAATTAACCTGTTTCCCTGAAAATCTCTTTCGCCTTAAGGGTTACCAGAAACACCTTTTGTTTTGGAGTGAAAATAGAAATGTCTAATTCCACATCACTCTCTCCTCAATCACCAGACTGTATTCCTTGATTCCATTGGTGAAACTCCTTTTCTCTTGCACATCCACTCTTGTTACCAGCTGGATCATTGCATGTGTGTAGGTCCATTCGGAAGCCTCTTGTTAAAGGGTTTGAGAAACTGGAATACATTAAACTTTGGATCAATTAAAATCCAATTAGAAAGAATTGGGACTCCTGGACGAGGCTTGGCCCATAGGTAACGGTGACTGAACGCAAGAATTTGGCGAGTCCAGGCACTGTCTAATGATTGAGGCCAACAGTTGAGAGAAGTGTGGTCAACAAACTGTTATTACCTCAATAAAGGCACAGATCAATAGAGCCGAAATGAACAGCCGGGCCTGCCAGCTAGCACTGTTCATTTAGAGCAGGGAGGAGACACAGACTGAGAAGAGATGGATGGATTCAGAGATGTTTAACAGAAACAGGGGGTTGATAGGCTAAAGACCGGAGTGCACCGGGACAGAGTCTTGTACCTGGGGCGGACATGACACTCGAAGAGGACAAGCAATTTCTCTATCTTCCTCTTGCATCTCGAAAGGCCTCTATGAACGCCGGTGACTTCCCCCCCGGCTTTCTGCAGCTGTGTGTAGGTGCGTATCTGGCGCCTGTGCATGCGTGTGTCGGTGTGTACGTGCTGGAAGTAATAAAGTCCACCCGGGGTTGACTTCGATCCACTGACCCAGCAGGAGGTAAGACTGGACAGCTATGATGGATCACCTAACCTCCTTCTGCCTCTCCACCAGCGCTCCCTCCTCTCCAACCTCCTTTTCCTCCAGCTCTTTGCCAGTCCAAATGTCCTCGCACTCGCCGGGAAGGATGAATAGAGCTGCTTGTGCCTTCCACTGAGCAAATAAAGTGTTTGTTTGGGCAGAAAATGACCATGAACATATGATAAAATGTTTAGCTGAAAGCAGCGCAGTGTCATTCGCTGCCTAATCTACAATCACTCCTCTGTACGCCAGGTCATGCTGTCCTTGCATCTCCATATATAAACTAGTGAAACCTAAGAACTTGTCGATACATTCCAGTGTTGCCGACATGATATCCGATGAAGTAATTGCTCATGACAAACGGCGTGAGAGTGAACGCATAAGAGCAGTTGTAATAGATGCACACAGTACCTTGGGTAATCTCTCCTGGTCTCCCGGGTGTCTGGGGATGACCTTCTGTAACCTCTGGAAGCCGTAGTCTATGGTGGGCTCGTTCAGCGCTGCATACAAAAACAAGAAAGCGAGAGAGGAGAGGACATTCATTAGTGTTGTGTGCTACAGCTTATCAGTATTCAGGGTCGCCAATTCAAGCTGATTTAGGACATGAGGTGCCGTTCACTCAGGACAATCACCTTTTAATAGCAGCAAAAGACAAACAACCATTCATCTTTGCATTGCCGTGTATAGGCAATTTAGATTGACCAATTTAACTAGTAATGCATTGCTTTGGACTCCGTAGACTTATTATGAGGGAAAACACTACAGGAGACAATGGAGATTCAATCATCCCTGCGGAAAACTGCTGACAAGATTGTTAAAATGGACAAATTGGCAGTGCATGCTTTGGTTTATTGTGAGTTTTACAGCATGTAGGTCTGCAAATGCCCTGCACAAAGCAGGTGTGCGAGAGCATGAACCATTGTTTCCCCTTAAAGTTGAGTAGAATTAGTTTTGTATCAGTACAGATATATTGTCTCAGTCGGTAGCTGTTGAGGCTATAAAGAGTTATTTTTGAAAACACAGTAGGTTTGCCACTGTGGTCTTGTTAGCTACATCAACAGCAAACTGCATTCATTGCAGTTTCGGAATGTGCGGTCAGGAATGATTGAAAATGAAATCATTCTGCTTTTGACAATTATAAGGGCTCAAGATTTTGATAACGATTAAACTAAGTTTTCAATTGTATGGTGTGAATCTGTGCAGCACTCAGAGACCCATCTTATGACACTCTACTGAACTTGCAATTACCCCAGACAAAGGCCCATCTGAAATCAAACCTATAACCTAATGGAGTATCCAGGGCAAATAAGGCCTCTGACCTTAGTTATTCACACAAGTATAGCGTAAGAGATTGACAGTGAACCTCATTGACTGTGTTTTAATGAACTACAGCTATAAACATCTGTCCATTAAAAATAATTGGTTTCAATCTTTGGGAAGACCCGATGTAGACACTCTTTAATTCTAAAGCATAATCAACGTTGTGGCCAAACAGCTCAACGGGAAAAGTCACTCTATAGTGGAAATGACCGAATTAAGCATCTTTCACACTGATTATTCCACATTAAGCTAAACATGTTCAAAATGGTGGGTGTTCTCTATTCTATTAAGTCTGCCGCGTCTTTGTTTGCCTGTGATGTAATGAATCTCTCTCCGTCGCCTGCTTTGGCTCTTAATAAAAAGACTGTCAGGAATCAAGAGTTGCTTTAGTGTTTGTGCGAATGCATGTCTCTGTGTGTGTCCTGTGGTCTTGTGTTGATCAGCGACTAATATAAGCAATTACAGAGCCTGGTTTCAATATAACAAAGGCTCTATCGCTCCGGGGAACAGGGCAAAAAAACACACACACACACACACACACACACACACACACACACACACACACACGCAGAGAGCACGCATACACCTACTCCGTCTACTACAGACAGTCTGATCATGCAGGGAGGAGAAAGCACTCTCGGCATGCTGTGGTCGCGCAGCCGTAATTGAATATGAGAAGATTTAGCATGAATATTTAAACATTAGAATAAATACAATGAAGATCTGAGGCTCCTAGTACAAACACTTCACCAGGGGATTGTTGGATAAGTGCTCTCGATATAATTCATTCCTAACGTACTCCAAGCTGCTGGTCGCCGCTTCGAGTCGCGGCGTTACTTGCCTTAGGAGTCAGGACTGTGAATGCAATGAGGTTTACATAGAAGGTAATTGACTGCCGTTGTCAAATTTGATTTATGTTGTGGTCAATAAACTAGCAAATCAAAATTAAAATCGCAAACCTTTGTTCTGCGCCTCTCTTCTTATAATGGAAGAACTTAAACCAAACATTCCCAGACAATAACAACAAAAGTGATTTAAGTGGAACGGAAAGTACTTGATAATGTTATGTTGTCTCTTGCGCAGATAGTTGCCGATATTACTTCAAGTCCCGCACATTATGCTATAACAAGCTATAACAACATGATACCTTGGGTAGCCTTTACAGTTGTGTACAAACGTGAACAACAGAAAGGTTAACATTGTCATGCTGATTCTATATCTACATTTGTCTGCTATGTATTGCAATATAAAGTACAAGGTCAAGGTAAAAGTTTTTCACTAACGGTCAATGCCCATAAGTGAAACATAGCCTTAAGGTGTTGATAAATCTATTCCTGTGTGCATGTCCGCTATGCTTGGATAAATTACAACACCATGCCTAGTTGACCTATACGTAATTGTCAAATATACATTTACGGACACTTCTACTCAGGTCTAAAGCTTTTGACACCCCATCTATGCATAGTATGGGGGTTACATCCGCTATTGTACAACTGATAATTTGTTTCTATTGTAATCATTTGGACAAATCAGGTCCATTATGCACAAGTATTGTCCGTATGTGTGCGCCGCCCGTCTGTTTCCCCTGTGGGTCGCAGCTTGGCCGTGTCCCGAGGGTTGGTGCCCTGCTCCCCTCACATCTGAGCAGCCAGGCTGACTAGGCGGCCCCAGAAAACAGGCCCCCAGAGGCTATGAGTACAAGCTGTCCTGCTGGACCTCCACTGACTCCACTATGGCACTAAGGCTGCACGCTCGCACACAACATGAAAACACAAAAGGCACAAAAGGCAACAATGGAGGAGTTGGACAGCTCTCCCAATGGACGTTCCAGTCTGTGCTCGAGTCAAAGTACTATACTTCAAATTCATTTTCATCCAAAAAAGTGAAAAGGTGAACCCAAGTAGAATATGACAACTTCTTACACAATTATCACTGCTCTAATCCAGGTTAATCTAAAATAATTCAAGGTTGTATTATAACCATACCAATATTTAACTATAGATGCTCCCTTGAGTCCAACATAATATACATGCAGTACTTAGAATCTTTCGCGGCAATCTGGGAAAAAAGATCACGATTGTTTTCACTATATTGACCGATCTTGATTTACCGATATGATTACATCAGAAAAGACATGCGGTAAAAGTCCTGACTGTTTTTTCATCAAACTGAGGGAAACTTCTCTTTAACCTTTTGCATCATTGGTGTCTCTCCATTTTTTGATTCAGGTCTCGATAATCGTAATCTACCAAAGAGATTGAGACTTTTCTATTTTTCCATTGTTGGCATATCCCTGATTTCGATATTTAGATTTGAGTTTGAAGTGGTCAGCGTTGTAGAGGAAGAAGCCTCTCAGAGAGTTCATGACCTAAGACAGTGGCTCAATGTGGTGAAATTGTGATCCTCTCCTCTCATAGACAATTAAAACCAAGTTAAATGTGTCTCATGAATGTAATCCTCTTTTTTAATTTTTTTATTACGAACCATTTGATATGAATAGTTTACCCCCAGTTTCAGTAAGTCATACAAATGAACAAAAGAAAACATGTAGATAATAGTTGAGATGCTTGAGAGGCTTGATTTCTCCACATAATGGCCCAGCTGGTCCACTGATAAAATAAGCCCAAACAATGCGACGATCACATGCAACAAATAAAGTCTGAATTATTTCTGAGGACAAATATTTGACATTACTTCCCCCGTCTCTGATCTCTCTAAAGCCTTAAGAAGGATTTGCCCTGGATTAGGCCCATAGTTTGAGAAGGGATTCTGACAACATCCTTCTCTCCTTCGCCCAGGCTTTTGTTTTTATGATGAATTTTTTATCAGTTCTCCACAACGTGCCAAATGAGCCTCAAGTGAACAATAGCATCAAAACCCTAAGACGTGCACAGATACCCCTTTTAACAAATAAGAGACAATTTTGGTAATTGAGGGAGGACGCAATATCATTTTCAAGGACCATAAAGTTGAGGTGGAAGGATGTGGGGGACAGTATTGTGCGTCAGTAATACCTGGATGTGGCTCTTTGGGGATTAAATTTGTATAGTTTATATCTATTCTCAATGTGGTAGAATTCACAACAAGAATTATGGCATAGAGAAGGAAGTCATGCCAATTAAGAAGGCATAATAATAGACTACAATGCGCGATTTTTACGACAATAATGGAGATTGTTATGATGATAAGAAATGTATTTTTGGACACACATAATAACCCAGTGTTGCTCTGATATCGCAGCAGCAGTTGCCAATTTTACAACAACTCACTGCTAGACCTGTCATAATAGTTCCGTAACTGATAGATGGAATAGTATGTAAAATAATGACATTTTATTCGTAGATGATTTACTATGACTAAATATGACTAAATTCAGATTTTTCTTAACACATGATTTTTAATAAAATATATGTTATTAATACAATACAATATTTTTTCATTGTATTGTCTATTGTGATTGTATTGTTTACATTATTGTGTATCGTGACAGGTCTACAAGGCAACTCAAATTGCTTAACAAAACATGAAGAGATTAAAATCATAAAAGGCATTAACATCAAAAATAACTACAGTGCATTTAAAAAAGTTAAGATTCAATACTTCAGTTGTATGCACAGCTAAACAGAACTGCTCTAACCTTGGAGTGGCAAAGTAGAAACCTGCCTCACATTTTCAGGCAGACTGTTCCAGATTTTAGATGCAGAAATCTGAAATGCTGCCTTCTCATGTTTACTACTAAATTGCTAGACAAATGAATACACTTCATGCCTCATTGAACCCTTATACATTCCACAAACGTTTGCATTTTTTCTCACTGACTACTTCTATAGCCTCTTCCATATCCCAGTATGGACTTTTATTGCAAAAACTTCAACTTAGCAAAATTTTGTGCCGCACTATTGGAGGTATAGTCCGCTCCCAGATTCAGAGCACACTGCCCCATCCAGGTATATTTATAATCCCTAGCTGTCGCTCTCCAGAAGAGCAAATCAAAGCCAGTAAAACATAACTGCCATAAATAAATGAATAGATGAGCAACAGCCCTGGACTGAAGGGATTCACCTAGCAATCACCCGCATCAGATCAGATCAATGCTCATGGAAATTTCATGAAGCCCTGAATCCACACCGCTTCATATTTCACTATAATAACCCACAGAGCCGCAGGGGGAGAGGGGCGT